ACTACAAAAATTAATGATTGGTCGCTTGATGTTGTTAAATCTATGTTAGTGAAAATGATTTATTGATTTCTCTTCTGCCTCCAGTGCAATCTAAACAAATTACGTCACGAGAAATCCATCTTTACATCAAAATGTGTAAATATGATTTTAGTTATCAAAATATTATTATTAAGTATAAGTGTTCATTGTCTTATATACCAAAGTCTAGTAATTAGTGACCAGTTTTATACGTGCTTAGCTTTGCATTTGCTGCAAAACCAATTCCTTGTCTTGGGTGGTCTTTTCAGTGAAGTACATTTAATATGATACCAACACAGGCACCTTTCACATGCTACACTTTCATCTTTGCTGCTGATTGTGGTTGAACATCCAGGACATATCCACTTTGTCTTGTTCTTTTTTTCACTGACATTAAGAACAACTTTCCATGCATTGGCAACAAAATATTTCTCAATCCTATTCAAATCGACATTCTCTTTGTCACGAATCATGTCTGGAAGCTTAAGAGGATTTGTTTCGACTTCTTCTGGTGGTATTAAATCACCACTTTGGATTGCGTTGTTAGCAACTGAACAACGGACAAAGCACTCTAAAAGAATCCTGTCCTTTTCTACTGCTTTCACCTTGCAAAATGGCAGCAACCCTTTCTTTGCTTTCTTTACTTTGGGTAGCCCAATGACAGTTAATTCCGCTCCTTTGGGCCTTCCTCTCTTGAGCATTTTCGGTGGCATTTTTATGTTTTTAAGCTCTTTCTGCTTGCAATCATTTTCTTTGCTCTTTACTTGTGAAGATGTACCAGCAGTCTTAGACTTATCAGCGAGGATGGTGGGAGAAGTTTTGGCAACGTCACCTGGAACATTTGATTTGTTTTTGTTTCTACTGGCCTTTTTTGATCACGGGGAATGGGACCAAAATCTCTTTTATCATAGGGTATGTCATGATCTTTGTTACGAAAATGTTCGTTTTGGGTTTTGGTGGGCTTTTCTTCATCAATATTTGTTGTGTCTTCAGTGTTGCTGCATCTTCCAAGACTGTCTTGTGCTTGCCAAAGGTTGAGAATTTGTTGCAGATCAGCCATTCTACTGTCAAATGTCTTCATTCCGCCTTCACTTGCCAGTGAAGCCAGGGTTCGTGCCACATTCATTGCCTTGTGGAATTTCTGGGCTTGCGTCAAAGTGGTAGATTTCTCTTTACTTTCATGAAGGACATCGACGTTGCTGATGCCGCATGTGGTTGGCACATTGGCTGCCTCAGAAGCTTTATTATAGTATTCAACGGTCCATCTGGCAGAGAGGAGGGAAGGATCAAATCGAGATAACTTAAGCGCAGTTCTGGCTTTAAGGATGTGTCTACATGGAAGTCCCATTTTCACAGGATACGTGCATTGGCAAGTGTTACCTGACACTGTTACTTCACCATAGGTACAACTCTTTATTAAAACTTTGTTCTCGGACAAAACCTGTTGTACGGTTAAACGTTTGGCAAGTTCAACTTGACGCTTAAGGTGTTTGAAAGCGTATGGTGTTAGAACTTCAGCATATGTGCGGATGTCCTCCTCACACGATTCAATTGATATGGGCTTGCGTAATGTTGCCATAATTTTCTGGTGTGTCCTTTCATTCCGCAATGTTCCAAGGAGTGCAAACATTTCTGTAAAAAATTGTAAAAGTGTTGCATAGCGAGAGCAAACACTTTTAATCTTCGCATTAGCACTCTCTAAACGATTGTTGGTTGTTTCACCAAGGTTAAAAGTTGAATCCTTAAAACAAGAAACCCATTGCTCTTTTATAGGGTGCCAATTGTCAAAGAAATAGTTTCTTACAGCTTTTGATTTGGTTTCCTTTAACAGATTTACGTTTTCTTCATAGGCTTCTTCTGTTTTGGAATAAATTATTGCGGTTAATATCTCAAGAACTCTGTCCCGTTCACCTGACGTTATCCCCATTTTCTCAACTGTTATCTCCCTTCTGAAAGTTCGAAGTGTATGATAAAGGCATATAAGTAGGGATGCGCTGGGAAAGCATTTGGCGAAGGCTTGACGTTCCTTGTCGGACATGATTACTGTAGTCCTTATCCAAGCTGGATTGTGCCTTTTAAATGCTTCCATGGCTGCTGTTATGACAGTTTCACTCTCTTCAGCAACGATTAGAAGGGCGACAATATCACTAAGGCCATTTCCATCCACTACCATCAGCACATAGAGTGGCATTCTCAAATCAAGAAGTTTGTAAGTAGCATCCACAAGCAGGAGCTCAGGAAACCTGTCGTACGCATGTTTCATGTACTGGTCTTGAAAGAAAAGAGACTTAAAATTGCTGTCTTCGTCCGTTGCTACTTCTACAACTGCGCCTTCTTTTGTCTTCAGATAATCCACGACGACGTCAAGGTCATTGCTATTTATTTTCGACTTGGTTTTGGTTTTCAAGTTTGAAATATCCTTTAATGTTACTCGCTGTCCTGTCGTGGTTTGTATTTTCTGTTGCAGCAGTTTGTTGTTAGCTTTTAGGCGCACTGCACCTTGGATTTCCTCTTTCAGTGCACCAGTGAGCTTTCGCTGACGAGGTAGATGTTTGTACAGTTCTTCTGACAGAGAATGGTTGTGATCCATGGTCATTTTCATAACTTCTAACGCTTTTCCGTCCGTGGACAAAACAATATAAACTTCGAACTGACATCCTTGTTTAAAGGTTTTAGTATCACGCTTTCTGTCGTCTCTATTCTCTGCTTTTCTTCCTCCAAATTTGCAGCTTAATTTCAGGGAGTAGTACTGGAGGCTCAACTCAGCATTTGCTACTCGTTTGGGGACTCGCTTCTGTGCAGATACAAGGGTTCTGACATCTCGTTTCCACAGCTCGCAAAAGTGAATATCCTCATATTTGGCTTTGGCCTCATTAAAGTCATTTACAGTATAGAACTTTCTACCAACGTAAAATATGTCATTACTAGCATCTTGATCTACTTCTTCTTTAATCGAGAGGATGTCACCTGTTTCACTTAAGGGGGAGGATTTAACTACATCATCTGGCAACACTATCGCAGTCTGTTCTGGTGATGTTACAGATGGTCGCTCTAATGCGCTAAATGTGAAGACATATGAAAATAGTTAAAGTATTGAATTCAATGATTGCACACTAAACATCTCAGGAGAGGATAGAATGGATTATGATGAATAACATGCTTAGAAAACTTTAATACTTGAGTGGTAGCAGGCAACATGGCAACATTGTGACGACTAATCAACTGTACACTACACTACTGTATAAATTATACTGTGACAAAACTGGCAGATCATTACCATGCTTTAATTTCTTTGTTTCTTATTTCATTCACCATATCCAATCGAATTTTTGCTATATCTTTCTATAAATGCAAATATGATAACAGCTATGGTGCTTAATGAATTACTTTACATACTGTTAAATTAATAAGCACATATACTGCACATAATAAACAAACACACAGCAGCTATGCAGGACTATGATGGTTGTGTATACGTAAAAGTTTAGGAGACCAATTACTGCAGGACCAAAACTCAAAACTAAGAAACCGACACATTGCCATCACAGATATACTACACCATGTAACTAACAAACTAAAAATCCAAAGGCAAGGATACAAGGCAAAGGTAGTTAATTAAATGCAATACCTGGTTGAATGAGAATGGCTGTTGAAATACCAAATGCTTCATGTACTAGTTGAAGAAATAGAAAACATTATGGTTAAAAATATTATTGCCCTCAAGCTTGCCCAGCAAATAATATTTGACAAAGGCATATCAAAATTGTATTGAGCAACGTTAAAACGAAACGTTACTTGAATAAAATTTTATTAAATTATTATGCCTCTTTGGAGTATTATTTGCTGGCCAATAATATTTTTTACTAGAATTTATTTTCTGCCTGATGTTTTTATTGCTAAGGGACCGGTCATTAAATATGGTAGGTGGGGGGGGGGTGGAGGAGAAACCCAACATTTTGACACAAAAAAACCACAAAAGTTGTATACTTTTTCAAGACCTCCCCATATTTATCTTATATTTTTTGAAGACCCCCCTCTCGATCCTTGGTCCTCTTGAAAATTTAGTTTTGTAGTAAACATGCAGTATGGCCAGCCATACTGCATTCTTACTACAAAACTGAATTTAAATTTTCAAGAGGACATCCATCTATTTCTTATAGCTATTTCTTATAGACATTTCTTATAGTTTAAAAAGACATACCAGGTTTAATGATCATAGCATTTTAATACTGATTGCCTATCATAATTGTTTTGCATATTACAGTATACCTGACACAGAAATACTCCACAGTCAATGTAGTTGTCTTGTTTCGGAATATCCTAATAAATTGTGTCAATGAACAAAATAATATTTAATTAACATAAACTGCCTCCGTTTCTAATCACCAGTCAGCAACATTTAATTATAACATAAAGTTAGCCTGCTCACAGCAACCAGGTATCTCTGTCACTTAGAAATTCAAGACCCAATGTTTCATCCAAGTCTAGTGTCGGGGGTTATCTGAAGTAACAACTTTAAGGATCTTTATGAATACAGTGACATCATTGACCAACAAGGTGAAGATACTCTAGCAGCCAATAACAATAGCTACTACCTGCTCTAATCATAGCATTTTGGTTGCAAAATAATAATTTTATGTTACTATAAATTTTATGTTACTATATGTGGCCGAGGGTCAATTAAATCATCCAAAGCTGACTAATACCACTTTTTAACAATGAACATATATCAGTGCATGATCTGTCTTGCTCGCTGTTATGCTACAGTGATCTGTCTTAATTGCCTTCCAACGTACTGCTATATGCTATGCACATATGACAGCTAGTAACTTACTTTTTTGCAGTCCCAAAACTCCAAGACTCTGAATTATGTTCAGGGTATAGGTGAGTAACAAGTTTTCTAAAAAAAATGTGTATTTAGACAAAGTACATAATTAACAGGACTGCATTTATACTCATTACTTCTGAATTGACGTATTACCTTATTTTAAATGATCCACAACATAGTCAGGTATGCAATCTGTACCACCCAAGGAGTCATAGTAGGTGACAACTTTATTTCTTTTGTCCACCACCTTTGGTTAGATACAAAATTACTTAATTACATGTACATGTGAGCTAAAATATACTATACAATATGTCATATGTAGTACACTAATAAAGTAGTCTACTCTGCTAGTCCATGCATGCACATGTCATACATACACATAGTGTCCAGTGTTTATCTTCATTGATAGGGAACATGAGCAAGTCACTTAGAACTGAACTATCCTAAAAAATACAAATAAATTATTATTTTTTATCATATGTAATTAACAGTTGACTATCTAGCAATATCTTGTTATTTCTCAACATAATTATAGTGTTGCAACATAAATAATGCATACAATTTAGAGCAGTACTACTTAATTGATCGAGGTATTGTCAGTCACTTTTAAAAACAGAAAAAATGTAATTAACACATGATTGTTTTATTATTTTGTTTATTGTTTTACCACCTACAGAGATGCACCATTCCTTTTTAGACTTTCGGACTAGGCAAGTTAAACAGTATAGCTTAATCCCCTACTACTTTAAAAAAAGGGGTAAGCATTTTCCACACAAATACAAAAATATAAAAAATTTGCCAACATCACAGGGCTATATATTTTCTGTATTTTACATGTTTTTTTCTGCTGTACTGTTAACTTTCGAAATTCAAAAGAGGAATGGCGCATTGATATTATTAATAATATAGCCTGCAAGCAGGCTCTCCAGTTGCTACAGGTGTACCTTGTCCATCCATCTAGCAAATGAATTGGAAAATTCCTCTTTTTTAAACTTTGTGAAACAGAAGCTGTTTTTAATTGTGATTGATACATTCTGTAAGAGACAATATACATATATATACCAATAATTAATTAATCAATCAATTATAACATTAACATATACAGTAAACCTAGCAATGCTCACCTATTCTAATTATTATCAGAGAACATGCAATGGAATATATGATCAAGACACATATAAAATTCATAACACATGTACACTATTGTGTAGTAATACCATACAGTGCAATATCATGGGACACCATGGTTGCCTTGAATGTATGCATGGTTTTGCAATTGGCCATGTATTCCTCAACAGCTTATAGTATAATAGTGTGTTTAGACATAGCATCCTTGATTAATTGATTATGAAGTGCATGCATGTATGTAGCATAACATAATGAATCATATACATACAGGCATCTTCTGTGCGCATTCTTGTAGAAGATTTCCATAGAAATTTATTATCTAGAAAGGAACCAAACAATTAATGATTATAAATTAGTAACCTCTATAATTTAGTATTTCAAGCTGACTTCAAGCAACAATATGGCCGGCTGCCGGTTATTTAGGCTTGACAAGTAAAAACTATACAGCCGGCTGCCGGCTGTCTAGCCCATAGATATCTCAAATACACTAGATAGCGCATCCCACCCTGCAGGCGAGCAAAAATTGAAGCCTGATCGCAGTCGCATTTTGCGGGCGGCGGCCATATTGGTCGTTCCCACGGAGCCAGATAATTTGTTTATTTTGTATTGCGGAAATTGACCAAGTCGACTACAAATCCTCTTTTGTGCAGTCAATTTTGGTTTTTTGAGTCTGGAACTTGCTGCAAATGATGCCAGATCGTTAGAGCTTTTTATTTTAAATAACGGGTAAGCAAACTTTAATTATTTTTTTGAAAATATCAATATTTGTCGACCCGTTAAAGAGCGGTCAATGACAATGTTTATGACAATTTATACGGACATACTATTGTGTTTTTTCAACATTTGGCTGTTAAATATATGATGTTGTGTGTAGAATTAAGATTGTTGAGGCATTTTCATGTATAATCAATTCCAAATAAAGCATTTTGAGCCAGTACTGCGGTAAAGATAGCAACACTGAAAAACTTAAATTTTAGTCACAGTTTAATATCAATGGCAAAACAGTCGATATATAGCATTGACATTCAAACAAAAATGGTTCTTATTTCTTAGTATTTAAATATTTATTTAAAAACAACATATATGTATTATTTCTTAGACCCATGGATCATATCAAGACGAAAATGTAGTATTAGAAGCATAGATAAACTATGATCAGAAGCTAGAGAAAAACAATTACAACTTTATAATCGCAGGCAATATAACAATTGCTATTATAATATAACATTTATAGTACGCGCGTGCTGATTGGTCGAGAAGCGTGTTTCTATAACTGTATAGAAACACGGGAATTTTCCCGCCGAACTTGACAAGCGAAGCGATGTAATGAGAATTTGTAATTGAATCGAATCATAATATTTGTACAAAATCTTTTTATTGAGTTATATTATAAAAGAAATAGAAAACATTTTTTCCTGTGTTTCTATACAGTTATAGAAACACTTGTGGGAGTTTGGGAGAACTCGAAATAACGTGGAAAAACTCGCCCTACGGGCTCGTTTTCCCACTGATTATTTCTCGTTCTCCCAAACTCCCACGCGTGTTTCTATAACTGTATAGAAACACGGAAAATGTTTTCTATTTCTTAATTGTTTTATGTAAATGTAATTTATAATCGTATGAGTATAGTTTTTGATGTTGTAAGATATTTCTTTTGAGGTCTATGAGTACAAGACATTTCATTTTTAATCCAAGCAATCAAACTACCAAATTACTGTTATTTAGTAATAACAGCTAATTGTTAGAGTAATTTGTACTTTATAGCTGCTTTGGAAAATAAATTTTTCTAATAATGCAAAATATTTCTCCACATTACAGTATATTTTAAGATCAATGAAATAAACTGCATAGATTTTATACTCTTAAATATAGTTACATTCATTAATTATTGTATGAATAATTTTATAATTGTTATAATAAAATATTGTCTTTGTATTTGTGTAATAGCGCTTTGTAATTCTTTCACACAAGCCAAATGCACAACCCCAACCTTTCTAAAAACCCCCTGAAATTTACAACTCTTTTCTGGAAGTAAAAATATGATAAACTCTCAATTTTAGCCTTTCAATTTAGTGGTTACTGTAAATATAACTTAAAAAACGTACGATGTCCAATTTTAAAACCTTGCCGTATTCGAGACATAGATTTGGAGACCCGTGGCAGAGTTTTTACTCTTTTGGCGCCAATTTTAATTAACTTGATTTAAACTCAGCAACTTTTATAGCAATGGGAAAAGTTAGAGGCCCTCAATGTTGTGCTTTCGGATGTTCTAAACGTAAAAAAGTAGGTCCTGATTCAAAAACTACAAGAAGTGATAGTGAAGGGCCAAGTGATGAGGAATCAAAACTGAAGAGAAAACTTCCCAGGACATTTCATCAGTAAGCAATTTATTTTTACAGTGTACTATAGTATTTTATGGACTGAAATTAGACTTGCATTACATGATAAGCAACCTTTATAGATTTCCTAAGGATCAAGGCCGACGAAAACAATGGATACACAATATTCGTCGAGAAAAGTGGTCACCAAAAAAGCAGACAGTTATATGTTCTGACCACTTCAAAGAAAGTTGCATCAATAGAACTGCAAATGTGGTCAGGATAAATCAGGATGCTGTACCAACCAGGTTTAAAATGTTTCCAGATCATTTAAAAAAGGCATGTTATTATTTAGTAATAATTTCAGTCAGATATTTATACATAGTACATTATATGAACTACATTTCCATGCATGGTCATAGTGGTTAGTGGTTGTTCGGGCATGCCCCCCCCCCCTCTAGTGAAGATCACTGCTGTCTAAAATACTGTATTTAAAGGAAAAAAAGGAGGGTTACTTAGTCAAGAACACAATGTTTTAGTATTTACAGATATCTCTCCAGATATCTCATATATCTAAAAATTGAGCTCCAGAAGTTTAAAAATAATAACAATCATGATTTTTAAGTCATGCTACAAGTTCCCTCTTGAGGAGTGATGTCATCTTTACTGATAAAACATTAAAAGTGGTCCTGATAAACAGATTGAAACATAATAACAATTATAACTGTGGGTTGTCTGGAGTCACATGGTTTTGCCTAAGGTGCAGCACTGAATGTCATAAGAAGTAGGGGGTGTAAAAATACATATAAGTGTCACAAATTTTGTGATCCCTTATTAAAATTTACCTTAAGGTTACAAAGGAACGTAAAACAAAGTCAAGCACCACTCGTGCGCAAAGAGATCTTACTTCAATGCAGAGTTCAATACCTGTCAAAAGAAAAGAATGTCAACCTGATCAACACCAGTCCAGTATGCCACTAATGGAAGGATTGCCCTGTGCTAATATTAAAGAGACATCCTTACCAAGCGAGCTTGATCAAAGTCAACATAATCTGCCAACAATAGAAAATCCTTTGTTGAGCAAAAATGATCAAGACCAACCAAGTGTCCAGCCTTGTTATGAGAATGACACAACAATGGCAATTGACTGCAATGACACATCTTCTATCCTTCCTCACCAGGATGTTCCATTTGTACCCCTTCAAGAAACCAAATCAGTTGAACCAGCAATCCCAGTTCTGAAAGATGAATTGAAGAAGTCAGACAAGAAAATTAAGATGTTAAAGAAAAAGCTGAAATTGTCACAACAACGGTCACGTCGTCTGCAGAAAAAGGTTTTCTCATTAAAAGAAGTTGTTAAGGAGCTTCGAGATAAAAACCTGATTTCTCCTAATTGTGAGGACATTCTCAATCAAACATTTGAAGGGGTACCATTAGATTTGATGAAAAGAATGAAATCCAACAAAAAGTCTGGCAAAGGTTGTGTGTACTCACCTGAACTAAAGTCTTTTGCATTAACTCTTCAGTTTTATTCTGCTAAGGCATATTCTTTTGTTAGAAAAACATTCAATCTTGCATTACCAAGTCCATCCCAAATTCGAAGATGGTACAGCAAAATTCCAGCTGATCCTGGATTCACAAAACCAGCATTTGATGCATTGAAGTTGAAGGCAGCAGAATCCAAGGAAAATGGAAAGGAGGTTCTTTGCTCTCTGATGTTGGATGAGATGTCCATCAAAAAGCATGTATCTTGGGATGGAAAAAAATATCAAGGGTATGTAGATCTAGGCAATGGAGCAGATGACGACTCATTACCAATGGCAAAGGACGCTCTTGTATTTATGGTTGTTAGTCTAAACAGTTCATGGAAAGTACCATGTGGCTACTTTTTCGTAGACGGGCTTAGTGGGAAAGAGCGTGCAAATCTTGTAAGAGTTTGCATTCAACGTCTTCACGATGTAGGAGTTCGAGTAACCTCATTAACATGCGACGGACCATCATGCCATATTTGTATGTTAAGAGAACTTGGTCTCAGTCTAGATCTTTCTGACATGGTTACATACTTCATTCATCCTCAAGATCCCAAACTGCGAGTGTATGTATTCTTTGATATTTGCCATATGTTGAAACTGGTGCGAAATACATTTGGAGAATGGGGTATTATTGTTAACAGGGACAGTGAAAAGATTTGTTGGCAATATTTAGTAGAGCTTCATAAACTGCAAGATGAAGAAGGTCTTAGATTGGCAAACAAGCTGAAAAAAGCTCACATCAACTGGAAACAGCAGAAGATGAAAGTAAATCTGGCTGCTCAATCCTTAAGTTCAAGTGTTGCCAATGCATTAGAATACTGTGCACAAGAGTTAAAGCTACCTCAATTTCAAGGATGTGAAGCAACAGTGGAATTTATCAAGATGTTTGACCATCTTTTTGACATTCTTAATTCAAGAAACCCATTAGGAAAGGGATACAAAGCACCACTGCGTCCAACCAACAAGTGCACTTGGGATGCATTTCTGACAGATGTGTATGATTACATCATTAAATAAATTGAAAAACCTCTGGTGTACAAATGTGCCAAACAAAGCGTAAGACAGGTTTTCTTGGGTTTCTCATTGGCATTAAAAGCATCAAGCAAATGTTTCATGATTTAGTTGAATCACAATCAGCCCCACTTAAATATCTCCTTACATACAAATTGAGTCAGGATCATCTAGAATTATTCTTTTGTGCAGTCCGCGCTTGTGGAGGGTTTAACAACAATCCAACTACAAAGCAATTTACTGCAGCTTACAAACGGCTACTCCTGCGAAGCCATATTGAAGGAAATGGAGGCAACTGCGAGAAACAAGATCCTATTGACATTCTCAGTGTACTTGGAGATTCAAATGTTGTTAATGGTCACGAAATCAATATTTCTAATGTGGCTATCATCCGAAAGTATGATTTAACTGGAGAAAGCCATGAAAACAATGTTGATGATTATTCCAATTCGCCAAACATCTCGACACTTTCCCAATATAAGCAAGCAGCAA